AAGTGCTGAAGGATGGCGTCTTGGTTCCCAGTGCGGGCAGCGTCTTCGGAATGGCTGGCACTACTCGAGGGCGAAGGAGCAGCAGGAACGGAGTAGAAGGCATTTAAAGAGTGAAGGAGGACGAGGACTGGAGGAGGAGGAGGAGGAGGAGGAGGAGGAGGAGGAGGAGGAGGAGGAGGAGGAGGAGAAGAATAAAGAGGAGGAGGAGGAGGAGGAGGAGGAGGAGGAGGAGGAGGAGGAGGAGGAGGAGGAGGAGCAGCAGCAGCAGCAGCAGCAGCAGCAGCAGAAGCAGCGGTTGTGGAGGAGGAGCAGCAGAAGTGGTTTGTCCCAGGGCTCAATATGTAAGCGGTCTTAACATGCGCAGGATTCCGGGGGCGAGGAGAAGACGGGAGGAGGAGGAAGAAGAGAAGGAGGATGAGGAGGAGGAGGGGGAGGAGGAGGAGGAGGAGGAGGAGGAAGAATACGAGGAGTATGGAGTCTGGGTTGGGCCCCGCTCATCCAAGTCACCCCCACCGCTTCTGCCAGACCCTCCTCGCTGCAGGCGAGGGTCCACTCCGATCCGGTCGATCCGATTCGAGATCGAGTCCGGCTGTACCCCTTCGATTCGATTCCGATGCTCTGACGTCAGGAGGGAAAAAAACCACAGACACAATTAATCGGCGATTTCCCAGAAAATATGGGAAAATGTGGGAAGTGGGGGGGAAGACAGAAACCCAGAAAACATAAGAAAATATGGGGAACAGTTTTATTCGTGTGTATTTATTTGTGTGTCCTGGAGCCCCTTCATGACGATCCGATGTGGCCCCATGCTTGCATGACGCTGTTATACATCCTGGCGCGGCCCATCCGATTCGATGTCGACCCGTGCCGATGCAGCCCGATCCTGCCAACATTCCAAGTCGGTCGGGCTTCCCGACTGGATGTCGACAGATCCCGCAGGCGTGCCTGAAGTGGGGCTCGCACGACCAGAGGCGTCAGCTTCTCTCGACGCTGAAGGAGCAGCTGCCGAAGCTGGCTCTGGACAAGCACGGCCACGTCGTCGTGCTCAAGCTGCTCCGATACACCACGAGGAGCTCGCATCGATCGGGCATGTCATGTGCACTGGCATTGCGAGGGCCTCGGGAGGAGGAGGAGGAGGAGGAGGAGGGGGAGAGAGATACGTAGCACCCCGCAGTTGCGGATAAGAGTGAGGGGGCGGCGAGGATGTCGGCAGTCTGCGAGGCTCTGAAGAAGCCCGCCGCAGGCCCCTAACTTTTACAAGTTATGCAGCGAGCCCGCCGCAGGCGCTGATTTTTTAATTGACGCAATGTGGGTTGGTCGCGGGTGGGGTCGGGTGGTTCGCAGGTGGGTCGCGGGTGGGTCGCGGGCCGGGTCGCGGGTGGGTCACGGGTGGGTCGCGTGTGGGCCGCGGGTGGGTCGCGGGCGGGTCGCGGGGTGGGTCGCAGGTGTGTCGCGGGTGGGTCACGGGGTGGGTCGCGGGTGGGTCGCGGGTGGGTCACGGGTGGGTCGCGGGTGGGTCGCGGGGTAGGGCGCGGGTAGGTCGCAGGTGTGTCGCGGGTGGGTCGCGGGTGGGTCGCGAGTGGGTCGCGAATTGGGTTGCGGGGGGGACGACGACGACGACGCCGACGACGACGCCGACGACGACAACAGCAACAACAGCAGCAGCAGCGTCAACAACCACAAAAACAACAACTGCAACATCATTTACCCTCATGCGCGATGTTTCCACACGAAGCATGCGACCATCATGATAGCCCTCTACATCATTGGGGACTCTTGTTCTATAGCGGGGTCCTTTATCCCCATTCCCAGATCTCCCGCTCAATGAGCTCTTGCAAACACCTCCTCCGAGGAATTTCAACATATCCCGCCTCGAAAACACATGCCCGCGCCTTGCTGCGCCGATGCGAGACCGCCAGTGGAACCCCAGCGAAGGGTAAAGCACAAGGAAGTATCGAACGACAGGATTGCCTTGGTGGGGATGGGGGCTGTCGGTGGTGAGGCAAGGACCTGGCCCTGAATAGAAAGGGAGGAAGTCTCGAGCAGGGCTGCTGTTGTTGCTTGGAGCGGCGCCAATGCTGAAGAGAGGAAGGCGCTAGTCCAGCGTAAAACAAAACGAAGTCTCGAGCGGGAACGCTGGTATTGTTGGGACGGCGGCTGTCGGCGGCGAGGAGGAACACCGCCTTGAGTAAGAAAGGAGGAAGCATCGAGCGGGAGCCGTGGTTTTGGGGACGGGGGCTGTCGGCGGCGAGGAACAGCGGAAACAGAGAGGAAATCTCGAGCGGGAGCGTTGTTCTTGCTGGGAGCGGCGCCAATTCAAAAGAGAGTTGGGCGCCAGTCCCTCGTAAAACGGAAGGAAGTCTCGGGCGGGAGCGCTGGTTTTGTCGGGGCGGCGGTTTTCGGCGGCGAGGAGGAACACCGCCTTGAGTAAGAAGGGAGGAAGCATCGAGCGGGAACCGTGGTTTTGTCGGGGCGGAGGTTCTCGGCGGCGAGGAACAGCACCGTCTTCAGGAAGAAGGAAAGCTCGAGCGGGAGCGTTGTTCTTTCTGGGAGCGGCGCCAATTCAAAAGAGAGTTGGGCGCCAGTCCAGCGTAAAACGGAAGGAAGTCTCGGGCGGGAGCGCTGGTTTTGTCGGGGTGGCGGTTTTCGGCGGCGAGGACGAGCACCGCCTTGAGTTAAAGTGGGAGGAAGCCTCGAGCGGCAACGTTTGCTGGGGGCGGCGCCAATGAGAGAAAGACTAGCGAGCCACTCCAAGGAAACACGGGAGGAAGTCTCGAGCGGGAACGCTGGTTTTGTTAGGACGGCGGCTTTCGGCGGCGAGCAAGAAGAACACTAGTCCAGAGGCAGTTATCCTGGCGAAGGACCCAGCCATATGCAGCTGTGCGTACCGCAATTGTGAGTATCTTCTTCGGTAGCGATCCCTAAGGTGCCACGGGACGTGTGAGGGGTGTGCCGGGGCCTTCGGTGGAGCTCCCTGTGGGGCCACGAAACGTGCAAGGGGTGTGCCGAAATGGGTGCGGTGGGCGCATGCGAACGCAGCCATTGTGGCCCTCGGTGGGGCTCCCTGTGGGGCCACGAAACGTATGCGAGGTGTGCCGAACTGGGCGCGGTGGGCGCATGCGAACGCAGCCATTGGGTCCTTCGGTGGGACTCCTTGTGGGGCCACGAAACGTGTGAGAGGTGTGCCGACATGGGTGCGGTGGGCACAAGCGAACGCGGCCACAGGGGCCTTCGGTGGGGCTCCCTGTGGGGCCACGAAGCGTGTGAGGAGTGTACCGGTATGGGTGCGGTGGGCGCATGCGAGCGCAGCCACTGTGGCCTTCGGTGGAGCTCCCTGTGGGGCCACGAATCGTGTGAGGAGTGTACCGACATGGGTGCGGTGGGCGCATGCGAGCGCAACCACTGGAGCCTTCGGTGGAGCTCCCTATGGTGCCACGAAGCGTGTGAGGAGTGTACCGGCATGGGTGCGGTGGGCGCGTGCGAACGCAGCAATTGTGGCCTTCGTGGGGCCGCGAAAGGTGTGAGGGGTGTGCCGAATTGGGTGCGGTGGGCGCATTCGAACGCAGCCACTGGGGCCTTCGGTGGAGCTCCGTGTGTGGCCGCGAAACGTGTGAGGGGTGTGCCGAAATTGGTGCGGTGGGCGCATGCGAACGCAGCCACTGGGGCCTTCGGTGGAGCTCCGTGTGTGGCCGCGAAACGTGTGAGGGGTGTGCCGAAATTGGTGCGGTGGGCGCATGCGAACGCAGCCATTGTGGCCCTCGGTGGGGCTCCCTGTGGGGCCACGAAACGTATGCGAGGTGTGCCGAAATGGCTGCGGTGGGCGCATGCGAACGCAGCCGCTGGGGCCTTCGGTGGAACTCCTTGTGAGGCCACGAAAGGTGTGAGGGGTGTGCCGAAATGGGTGCGGTGGACGCATGCGAACGCAGCCACTTTGGCCTTCGGTGGGGCTCCCTGTGGGGCCACGAAACGTGTGAGGGGTGTGCCGAAATTGGTGCGGTGGGCGCATGCGAACGCAGCCACAGGGGCCTGCGGTGGGGCTCCTTGTGGGGAACGTGTGAGGGGTGTGCCGAAATGGGTGCGGTGGGCGCATGCGAATGCAGCCACTGGGGCCTTCGGTGGAGCTCCTTATGGGGTCACGAAACGTGTGAGGAGTGTACCGAAATGTATGCGGTTGGCGCATGCGAGCGCAGCCACTGTGGCCTTCGGTGGAGCTCCCTGTGGGGCCACGAAACGTGTGATGGGGTGTGCCGACATGGGTGCGGCGGGCGCATGCGAACGCAGCCACTGTGGCCTTCGATGGGGCTCCCTGTGGGGCCACGAAACGTGTGAGGGGTCGGCCGAAATGGAGAGGAGAGGAGAGGAGAGGAGAGGAGAGGAGAGGAGGGCGACGCTCCTCTTGGAGGAGGGAGGAGGAGGGGGAGGAGGAGCGGAGAGGAGTGACGCGGCGCACTGTCTGTTCAAAACGAGGACCCAACAGCACAGGATGGTTGGGAAAACGGAGGAAGTCTCGAGAGGGAGCGTTGTTGTTGTTGGGGGGCCGATTTTGGCGGTCCCCCAAACCGCTCGAACGTGAGCCTCGTTTTCAATGAACATGTAGCTGGCGCCTCAGCGAGAGCGCCAGAGCGCTTGTAAGGGGTCCAACAATAGTAATTGTTTAGTAATAAACATTCAACAGCAGCGGCAGCAGCAACAACGCCACCACCACCACCAATTACAACAACACAAACACCAACAACAACAAACCGCACCGCAGAACCTCACTTCAGCCACGCGCCCATGGATAGTGAATGACTGTTCGGCCACCTCACTCTGATAAGAAAACGGGAGAGTTCGGCGCCGCGGCATCTGAGCTGAAGCGTGCTTGGTCGAAAACTGGCTGAACCCAGCGTGTTATAGTTTACACTCCACCCGCACAGTAAGGAGTAACGGCTTTCCATGATTACCCTTGCATCCTTCCCCTTCGGCCCATCCATGGCCGCTTTCGCCGGAACCCTCTCGCAACGGTTCGATATGGCCCTCCGCGGCCTTTGGCATCCTTACCGCGCATCCTTGCTACACGGGTTGGCTGTAGCCCAATCTCGGCCAATCCAGCCTCATCTGGCTTCTTCCCGGGCTGAATCCCCCGGATCGGAAACCTGATGATCGTTCTTTCGAGAACCTTCCATGGGTTATTTCGTAGCGTTGGAGGCCCCCCCGGGCCCGAGATTTTGAGAACGATTGCGCCAACAGCTGAAGCCACACACATTCACGAACGATCGCACACATGCACACATGCACAGCTTCCCCCTCGCCCGAGGAAACCGACTACAAGGATGCCCCGTTTTCTCCTCCATATCGCGCGCAGTTCTATGGTCCCGCAACACACATGCATGTTTCCCACACGGCAGTCAACACGTAGGTATATGTATGTATGTTTGTATGCCTGCATACATGCATGCATGCATGCATGTATTGATATATGTATGCATGTATGTATGTAACTCATGCGTGCGTGCATTTATCCATGTACGCGTATATATAATATATATATATATATATATATATATATATATATATATATATATGTATATATATGTGTGTAAACATATGTGTATGCATCTGTGTGAATGGGGGCCGAACGGTCATAGTCCCTGAGCGCATGGCTGAACTGGAGTTCCGCGGTGCGATTCTTTTTTGTCGCATTGCTGTTGATGTGGGTTTGAAGTAATTATTCTTGCTCCCCCTCTGGTGACGATAGTATTATTTGATTGAAGCGCTAACGCCGGGGCTCTCGCACCCGGTTTTTAGGCAGGGAAAGTTCGGTGCCACCAAGTTGCGTTGTTGGGCCCCGAGCTACAACAACAATAACAACAGCAGCAACAACAGCAACAACAATCATTTTAAGGCTACTCGCTCTTACTGGCACGCGCGTCTTGCATTCTGTATACCCCAACCCTCGATACCCGCCTACTTTGTCTTCGATTGCACCCCCTTTCGGGGGGAATGTCTTCCTTGTCGGCCATTGACTTAAGTGCGAGGAAGTCTCGAGCGAGAGCGCCGTTCCTGAGTTCGGGGCCCTCTCTGGCCAGGGGCTCTCGGAAGACCGATGGACAAATACCGAACGGGAGCCCTTGTCGCCGTGTCTGGGCCTCCACCAACTTCCCTGATTTACGAGAAAGTCTCGAGCGAGAGTGCCGTTCCTGATTTCCGGGGCCTTCCTTGCCAGGGGCTTTCGGAGTAAATCGTGAAGAAATATCGAGCAGGAGCCCTTGACCTCGTGGCTGGGCCTCCACCAACTTGATTGAATTTCGAGGAAGTCTCGAGCGACAGCGCCGTTCCTGAGTTCGGGGGCCTCTCTGGCCAGGGTGTCCTGGAGTCAATTGTGAGGAGGTATCGAGCGGGGGCCGTTGTCGTCGTAGCTGGGCCTGATCTGGCCCAGGCTTGTTTAAGAACCCTCTGGGAAGCTGACCCAGATTTCTTGAACGATCATTTCCTGGATGGTATTTCCTGCTGTCATCTTATGCGGTTCCAACGCACCTTAGCCTTGACCACCAGAGAGAATTTCGAGCGCCAGGAAAGTACAGAAGCTGGAGGGCCTTTACGTGTCGGGCCCTGCGAGGCGACACCCTTTCGACACTGTGTCGATGCTCGCCTGGGTGCTTGAAGTACGCACGACGGGGGCAACCTAACTGTCGTTGTCTTTCCCCCCTCCTCGCTGACCTGCCACTTCGTCGGATCCGACTCCTGGTGATGGGCTTGTTTTCCACCACCACCACTATAAGTTGGAGGGGGGAAGGAGGTTGAGGACGAGGAGGAGGAGGAGGAGGAGGAGGAGGACCCCCTCCCCCTCCAGCTTATGGTGGTGGAGGTGGAAAACAGGCCCATCACCTGGGCCTTCCCGGCGCCCTGGGTGGCCGCCTGGGGGCCGCCGTGTGGCCCCCTCTCTCCGGAGGCCCTCTCCCGGGCCGCTTAGGGGGGCGGGGCCCGCAGCGACAGAGAAGAGCGAATCCATTGGAAAGGGAATGACGGGGGAGGAGGAGGAGGAGTAGGAGGAGGAGGAGGAGGACAGGAGGAGGAGTAGGAGGAAGAGGGAGAGGAGGAGAGGAGGAGGAGGAGGAGGAGGAGTAGGAGGAGGAGGGGAGGAGGGGGAGGAGGAGGAGGAGGGGAGGAGGAGAGGAGGAGGAGGAAGGAGATGAGGAAGAGGAAGGAGGGAGGAGGAGGGGAGGGGGGAGAGCAGGAGGAGGAGGAGGAGGAGGAGGAGGAGGAGTGGGAGGTCGAGAAGTAGAGAAACTAGTTTCACTCCCAGCCGAGAGCCTTCAGGGGGGGAGGCATGAATATTTTAAAGGCCCTCTGCGATGACCACTCTCCCCGGACCCCCGACGCCGTGATTTTTTCGCAACGTCGACCCCCAGAGGTCTGGACCCCTTCGCTGGGGCGGGCTTTTCGTCCCGAGACGTTTGCTGTCGGTCCCGAGGCCCGGTGTAAGGGGCCCCCGGAGGCCGAACATGGAGAGACAAGGACCGGCGCGATTCTCTCGCAACGCGAGGGGGCCCTGGGCCCCTGCGAGGATGCGCAAGAAGGACAGCAGAGAGTCTGGCAGCGCCCGCGCTGCGAGGCGGCGCGCCGCGCCCGCCCCACGACGGGACGCAGGCCCCTGCGGGCTGCGGCCCAGGCTGGGCGGGCGGGGCGCCGGATGGCGGCGGGCGCCGGGTGGCGGCGGGCGCGGCCCGCGGGCGGGGCGGCGGGCGGGGCGGCGGGCGCTGCGCGGCTCACCCTGGGCCTTGGGCCCTCTGCGGGAGAATCTTGGGCGTCCGCGGGCGCTCCCGTCGCGCGATCCGCGAGCCCGGCGAGGCGGGCGGGGGGGGCCCCCCGGGTCCCCCCCTCGGCGCCGGGTCGGCCGGGGCGCCCCTGGTCCTGGGCGAGGACGGTCCTGGGACAGGCAGGGTTGCTCGCCGACTGTGCCCGTGAGGGTTACCGCTCTGGCGCCTGCGTCGTCTCGCTCCTGTTCCGCGGATGCTCCCGTCGTCGGCGAGCGACCTCGCCCGGCGAGGCGGGCGGGGGTCACGGGGCACCCACAGCGGCGCCGGGGCCCTCGGCCTCCTGCGGTGTAGCGCTGCCGGTTCCCCCAGGTCCCCAGGCTCTCCAGATTTCGTAATAAAAGGGAGGGGGTCTCAACCCTCCCAGACGAGAAGTTTTAGACCCCCCCCCCCCCCGTGGGAGAACCCTCCAAAACATCGTCCCCAGACCCCCCCAGGCCCTCCAAGATAGCCTGGAAGAGACCCCCCCCCCCGAAATGAGACCCCCCTCCCTTTATTACGAAATCTGGAGTACCCGACGAGATCTCTGTTTCTGTTTCGATCCGGCGGGCTCGGGGGCCGCGCACTGAAGAGACATGTCGGGCCTCTCCCTCTACAGGAGGAATATGCAGGAATAGTGGCAAATTGTCAGGTGACGATTTTTCGTGCTCCTTCGATCATTTCTTAGATTATTGGTGGGTTATGTTTTCTCCACGAATCCGCATGTAGGGGGGCATGCCTGACCTGAACTTTGTATTGTTATTTTGTTGCCCTTCTTGTTCTGTTTGTGCGGGGGAAAATGGGAAGAGCAGTCGCAGCAACAACGGGCACGAGCGATACGAGGAACGAGCGCCGCAACGAGCACTCGCCCAGAACCATTGCCTCGCGTGCCCCGCGCGAGACATGCTCGCGCGAGCAGTAATCCCTTAGACAGGCTCTGCCCAGCTTGTGCGGCTGCATCGCCGCCCAACATACCTATACCATATGTGCGTCGCCCCCCCTGGGGCGACGCGCGCACCGAGAAATCCTATAGTATATGCGTCGTGGCGGGCGCTTTCTGGCCCGCTCGGGAAGCGATACACTACAAGATGGGTATACTATATGTTCGGGTCGGACGCGGTTCGGGTCGGACGCGCGCCTCCAAGGGGGGCACATAGCACTGTGATGGCTCTGTGCGCCCCACCCTGCACACAGGACAGCGGCGGCCCGGAAGCCGACGGAGGCCGAGAAGAAGGCGGCGGCCAAGAACCTCAAGGACATCCTGGAGGGCTTCCACGGCAAGAGCCTGCCGGCGGCTCAGGTGCGGTGTGTGTGTGTGTATCTGTGTTAGAATTGCACGTATGTATATATAAATTTATTTACACATATATATATATATATATATATATGCACACACATATATATATATATATATATATATGTATATCTATATATATATATATGTTTTCCAGACGCGGTCGCTTTGGCAAGCGCTTCTGGCTTACATTGCGCTGTTCACGAGTCGCCTCGCCCTGGCCTGCGAGCCGGACAGGTCGCCCTCTCCCTCGGTCTGCCCGCTCACCCCGCCGCCCCTCCGCCAGCGTGGGCCGGACCGCCGTCGCGCGGCTCGCCCTCTCGCGCCCCGGTGAGCGACAGGCTTGCCCGCCGCCGTCGTCGCCGTCGTCGTCGTCGTCGTCCTCGCCGCCGTCGTCGTCGTCGTCGTCGTCGTCGTCGTCGTCGTCGTCGTCGTCGTCGTCGTCGTCGTCGTCGTCGTCGTCGTCGTACGTCGTCGTCGTCGTCGTCGTCGTCGTCGTCGTCGTCGTCAAGGGGGAGGCTGGTCGGGCCGGACGAACGGGGGGGATTGGGAAAGGGGGGGTTCCGAAATTTGCTGCATGCAGCCGGTTTCGGCCTCACCGAGGGGCCCATTCCTCGATACATTGCCGCCTGCGGCGCCGGGAGGCGCCGGGAAAATCAGCTACGAGAGCTGATTCTCAACCCCCCCCTTTGCTATCCCCCCCTTTCGCCCGACCCGAGCCGGGCGAAGACGGTGCTGCGGCAGGGTTGCTCGCCGACTCCCCGTCATGGTCACTGTCACTGTTCTGCGGGCGCTCCCGTCGGCGCGAGGCCTCGCCTGGCGAGGCGGCGGGGGAGTCGCGGGGCCCCCAGCGGCGCCCGGGTCAGCACCGGGGCCCTCGGCCTCCTGCGGCCCAGCGGCTGCCGGATCCCCTAGATGTCCGGCGAGATTTGTTTTTCAATCCGGCGGGCTCGGGGGCCGCGCATTGAAAAAACAACAGCTCGGCGGATGTCAGGGTCATTGCCTTAAGTCGGGCATGTCCCTCTACAGGGGGAACATTCAGAAATCTTCAAGAGTAGTTTGGTGACGATTTGTCGTGCCCGTCTGATGATTGTTGACAAGTTGTTGGTATCTTTTTTTTTCCCTACCTAGGCTCTGCCTAGAAGGGTTCTTACTCTCTTAGCTTAAAAGGCCTGGGCAGTGGAAAGCGCCCCGGGCGGTTCCCCCAGTCCCCTGGGAGCGGTTCCCCCCAGTCCCCTGGGAGCCTTAGCTTTAGCTTTAGCTTTAGCTTTAGCTCAGCTTTAGCTTAGCTTTAGCTTAGCTGTAGCTTAGCTTGAGCTTAGCTGTAGCTTAGCTTTTCGCTTAGCGTTTAGCTTAGCGTTAGCTTGGCTTTAGCTTAGCTTTAGCTTAGCTTGAGCTTAGCTGTAGCTTAGCTTTAGCTTAGCTTTAGCTTAGCTTTAGCTTAGCTTCAGCTTAGATTTAGCTTAGCTGTAACTTAGCTTTAGCTTAGCAGTAGCTTAGCTTTAGCTTAGCTGTTACTCTGATTTAGCTTAGCTTTAACTTAGCTTTAGCTTAGCTTTAGCTTAGCTTTAGCTTAGCTTTAGCTTAGCTTTAGCTTGTTGTTAGCTTAGCTTTAGCTTAGCTTTAGCTTAGCTTTAGCTTAGCTTTAGCTTAGCTTTATCTTAGCTTTAGCATAACTTTAGCTTAGCTGTGGCTTAGCTTTAGCTTAGCTTTAGCTTAGCTTTAGCTTAGCTTTAGCTTAGCGTTACTGTTACTACTAATGCTGCTTTCCTAGGGGTTCCAACTCCTAGGTAGGGTCGCGCTGGGATAATTTGTTTTTAGTTGTTCTTCCAACATCTGTCTGTAGGAGAACATGCCCGACCTAATTGTCGCCCAAGAGGAAGGTGAGGATGATGATGAGGAGGAGGCTGGCGGTCGCCACAGGGGGCGGACATGTGGGCGGATCGCCCACGGGGCGCCATCGCATGTGCCAGGGGGCGCCCAGCCCCTAGGCTATCCACCCCTTTTTGTCTCCTCCTCCTCCGAGGAGGAGGAGGAGGAGGAGGAGGAGGAGCAGACGGAGGAGACGGAGAGGCAGAAGTTGGAGGAGGAGGAGGAGGAGGAGGAGGAGGAGGAGGATATGGTTGGAATAAACTCTCCCTCCAAGCTCCCTCCTCATAGACTCCTACAACGGTTCCTCTCCACTGAGGGAACGGCCTCGTCGGAAGACAACAGCTTGAAGATTCTGAAGCATGCCCAAACACTGGTCTCGGGATTCCAACGCCACGGATTAACCTGTCTGTGTCTTCTTGGCGAGCCTGAATCGTGTCAGAACGCCATTCCTAGGATTTCCCCACCGCGAACCAATGTAACTGTTGCACCCGCAGAATCCTGAATCTCCTGAAAACACCAGGTCTGATACGTTGATCATGGGATTATGTGATACTCTTGTGAATGTTATAAACGAATGTGCACGGCGCTGAGGCGAGAGCCACATTTTAATAATTAACCGTCCTCAGTCAGTGAAACTTTTTCGAAATGTTTAAAACGAATGCGCGCGGCGCTAAGGCGAGAGCCACATTTTCAAAAGGAGCCGCCCTCAACTCGTGAAGCCCTTGCAGTTGTTGTATCGAATGTGCGCAGCGCTCAGGCGAGAGCCACATTTTGAAAACCAGTCGCCCTCAATCCGTGAAGCTCTTCTCATTTTCTAACGAATGCGTGCGGCGCTAAGGCGGGAGCCACATATTGAAAACCACCCGCTCTCCATATGTGAAATTGTTTTCAATGTTTAGGCTTCAGGGTCATAAAGTGTGAGGAAGTCTCAGTCGAAACGCCCGGCCTGGCCTAAAAACTGGCCTCGGGGTGGGACAGGGAGAAGATATTTACAAGGAAAAGTAATGGAGGAGGAGGGTGAGGAGAAGGAGGAGGAGGAGGAGGAGGAGGAAGAAGAGGAAGAAGAGGAGGCTTAGGAGGAGGAGGAGGAGGAGGAGGAGGAGCATGAGGAGGAGCATGAGGAGGAGGAGAAGCATTAGGAGGAGGAGGAGGAGGAGGAGGAGGAGGAAGAGGATGATGATGATGATGATGATGATGATGATGATGATGATGATGATGATGATGATGATGATGATGATGATGATGATGATGATGATGATGATGATGATGATGAGGAGGAGAGGAGAGGGGGAGGAGGAGGAGGAGGAGGAGGAGGAGGACCCCTCCGCTCGCAGCATGCCCCGTCGAGGCACTCGGCCTCCCTCGACGGCCGGGCCAGCCGCCGGATACGCCCCGCGAGCGGCGGGGGCGAGGGCGAGGAAGGGGAGTACCTCCACTGGCGGCGTGTCCCGCCGAGGCACTCGGCCTTCTACAACAAGAACGGCTGCCGGGTCATCAACGGGTTCTACTTCTCCGAGTCGCTGAGTACCAGGGAGAAGCGGCGGATTCTGCATGAAGGCGTCCAGATTTGCCCATCGTCCTCTCCTTCTTCTGCTTGTGGTGATTCTGTTTCTTCTGTTCTTGTGTCCAGGCGAAGAGGGGTCGTAGGACGAGGCGACCTCCCCGGAGCGATCGGCGCTACCAACTACCGTCAGGCAGCGAACGACTTGTGGCCGGAGCGTTCAGCAGAGCGCGCCAGACGAACGATGAGGCGGGCGAGGTTATAAGCTCGCCCGCTTCCAGGCGACGTAGGAAGGCGGGTCACGCCCTTTCCCTTTATGCGCGTAAGACGGACTAGACAATCTCCCCATCCCTCTGAACGGACCAGACGGGTACTGGGAAGGAGCCACACACGTCAACATCAGTAATTGAGTGCCCCCCCCTTCGTAGAATTATTTCGGGGGGAGGGGGCTCGCGGTTTGCACCAACCTGTGGGACCCCTGGACTCTGCTTCGGGGCGGCTCTCACAACCTCGCATCCGAACATTTGGCCCTGCCAAAGCCCCGTGCGGACGCCGCCCGCTGGGCCACCCCTGCATTCACTGGCCTCGGAGGGGGCCGCCACGAGCTTGAAACCACTCTCTGGGGTGCCTGGCATTTGCTTCGGGACGTGCCTGGCGGGAGCCACCGTGGGGCACGAGCCACAGGCTGGAAGCTGTTGCGCGTGGCCTCCGGCCCCGTCTTCGAGGCCACACGCGCGGCCGTGCAGGAGTCGGCCACGCGCGCTCGCGGGTATGGGGGAGGGGGGAAGGCTTCTTAGAAGCACCCCCTGCTCCTTAGAAGGCGCGGGCCATGTCTGTACACGTACGGCCGGCGCCTGCGCGCGTGCCGAGCACAGCGGCGCGGCGAGGCGCCACTTCCGTCGCGGAGCGACCCTCCTCCTCCTCCTCCTCCTTCCCCAACAGTTCGTCATCTTCCCTCCCTGCCTAGAACCTACATCCTCCTCCTCCTCCTCCTTCTCCTCCCCCCTCCTTCCTCCTCATCCTCCTCCTTCCTCCTCCTACCTCCTCCCCATCCTCCTCCTCCTCCTGCCTCCTCCTACCTCCTATCCTCTCCCACCCCTCCTCCTCTGTCCTTACCTCGCCCCTCTCCTGCTCTGTCCGCCTCACCCCTCCCCTCTCTGGCCCTCCATTTTTCCCATTCTCCTCCTTCTCCCCCGAGGCAGCGCAGCCGCGTCGCCGCGCGAGGCCCTCGCCCGCGCGAGGCGCGCCCGAGGTACTGCGCGGGCGAGGCGCTTCCCCCTCCCCCTCCGGCCGAGCACGCGCCGCGCGGCGCCGCCTGGCGGCCGCGGAGCGGGGCCATCGCCTTTTGCGCCGGGGCTGCGACGCGGCGCGAGAGCCTCGCTCACTAGCCGCGCGTCGGCCCGGTGGCTGCGCAGGGAGATCCCCCCGCGCGCGGCGCGCAGGTCTTGCCTGGCGGCGCAGCGAGGCGTCAGTCGCTTCCGCCGCGGAGCGGGGCCGCCTCGAGCTCCCCCCCCCCCCACAAGTCGCTGAGCGAGGCGCCGGCAGATGCGACCCACGCGACCTCCCCCCCCCTTTCTGAAGGGTGCCGCGTCGGCGTAGATCTTACCAGTTGAAACATATCCCTATCCCTATGTTTGGCATCACCTCACCTCGATGCCGATCTTAAGGATTCCCTCAGTTTCTGAGGGCCTATCCCTAAGATTGTCCTCGCTTTTTGCTCGCCCATCTTAGGGATAGGGATACGTTCGAGGCTGGTTGCCGCGTCGGCGTAGATCGGGGAACAAACAATGCCATAAACATAGAAACTCGGAGGTCCGCGCGGATTCCTCGGATCGGCGCTGGACCCCCCTGGCGGCGCCTCCGGCGCCGCCCCTTGCGCGCTCCGCGCTCCAGTGAGGGGGTCCAGCGCGGGTCCGAGCAATCCGCGCAGACCTCCGAGTTTCTATGTTTGCGTCGGTGTTCGTTCCCCTAGCGCGACCTCCCCCCTTCTGAAGGGTGCCGCGTCGGGGTGGAGGCGGGGAGGGAAGGTTCTCTCTGGCGCTGGCGAGGCAGGTGTGGGGCGTGGGGGTGGGTGGGGCCCAGGCAGCGCGACCGCGCACTTGAGCATCCCTCCCCGCGACCCTGATCACAGGGTCGGATGCGTGCACGCGCTTTCTTGCAACTCCCCATTCCCTCTTTTTCCTTTTTCGAGGCTCATCCTCCCCCCTCTTCCTCCGAAGCTTCCGACTATCTCATTTACATCTCCGACGTCGTGGTTCGTGTCGCAACGTGGGCCTCCCGAGGTCCAGACCCCTTCCTCCGAGCCAGACTTCCATCCCGACCCGTTTTGCAGCGGTCCCGGGGCCCATTGGTAGCTCCCCCAGGGGCCGAGAGCAGCCACAAACACGCGGGGAGCGAGCGGGGGAAGCGAGAAGGAGAAGGCCTTCTCGGAAGGCGGTGGGACTTCTCAGACGCCCTCGCGCCTTCTGAGAGGTTTTTTTGTGTGTCTTCGGGAAGGCTTAGGCGAGTTTTCAGAGGCCGGGGGACTTCCGAGCCTTCCGAGAAGGCCTTCTGCTTCCCATTTCTCAGGCGATCGCAAACATGGATCAAGGGGGCGTGGATTAGCGACGGGAAATCGCGGATTTCCCGCATTTTGGGGAGGGCACCTTCCCCGATCCATGGATGTGGCGACCTCGCGTCAAACCCATGGATCGCCAATCCATGCTTGCGCGCCCCCCCGAATTTGTTCCCCCCCTCGATCGCCGCTGAAAGAACCGCCCGCCGCTTGCTTGCCGCGGCAGGAGGTCCTCCTCCTCCTCCTCCTCCTCCTCCTCCTCCTCTTCCTCCTCCTCCGTAGCCATTTTGGCTCAAGACTCCATGTTCCCTGGGGACGAAGTGGAGACCTCTGATCCGAGGCCAGACCCCAGGTTCTTCTGCAGCCGCTGGGTCTCGTACCCCCCAGTGGTCAAGAGTCCTCGCTGTTTCCGCCCGCAGATCCATCGCGCGACATGTCGAGCTCAGGCTCGGGAGGAGTGACCGCAGCAGTGAGTACACCCGTCGACGTGGATGAGGAGATGGAGGAAGTACCAGTATCACACCTTGAGCGTATCGCCAGGGCAATGGAGGTGAACGCGAATTCCACGAAGAAGTTGGAGGCCCAGCTGTTGTCTATGTCTGAGAGTAATGAGAAGATAATGAACGAGGTCGTGAAGATTGGCACCCTCGAGGCAAGAGTAGTACAGATCGAGAACGCGCTGGCCCAGCTTCCGCAAGGAGCCAGCCAAGGGGATCTCGCAGTCCAAGCCCAAGTTTCTGCCCTGTCCGTGAAGATGGAGAAGAACATCAAGGAGCTGCGCGACGAGATGATAACGGCGTCTACGGCGTCGGCAGGTTCTGGTGCTACGCCTCGGCCTGCAAAGTTCTCTCGTGCTGCGAGTTCGGCACCCATGGGGACCCCTGCAAATGATGATGTGCCAGACGACTGTCGACGTTGGATAAGTGGTTTTCCAAGACCGCTTATGATCCCAGCACGCGAGGCTCATTTTGAACGACTCAAGAATCATGTGTTGCGCCATATGGCCGAGAAGATGACAGCTCGCTTCGCTCGTGTCAGTCAGAGCTACAGTGTCCACTTCGAGACGCCTGCTCTTGCGCGTGAGTTCCACGATTTCATGGTCGAGAACCCGATGAAACGGAAGGACCAAAGGTCGCATGTGGAGCATGATGTCCGTGTGAGAGCTGATTTGCCAGGTGATGTTCGTAGTCGCCAGCGGCAACTCGGCCGCATTTGGTTGCCCATGAAGGAGCTCCTCGTACAGAAGGGGGTGTGGAATCAATCCGTGAGGATGGGCGCTAACGGTTCCCGCAATGAATTCTATTTCATCAAGGACGACGACATCTGGGTCATGTTTCGAGGCTCGCTCGACCCGCTCGGACGTTTGCAGCGCACCGTGACGGATGACTTCCGGAGCCTAAATTTTACTCAGGCGGACGCTGATAGGTTGTTGGGGCTCCTGAACCAATCGGAGAATACGCTACCAGGATTTGGCAATAATTCGCTGCCCGCAAGAAGCCGAGGCGGCATGCGCAGTGTGAACGACCAGGAGGTGTCCAGGCCAAGCCAGGATGCTTTGTTTCCTTCCTCTTGCCCTTCTCCTTCTGTTTCTCCCTCTTCGTCCAGGACATCGTATGAGTCGGAGTCGAGTTGCTCTTCGGAGGGAGAATTTGATGATCCGAATATTCGCGTTGTTCCGTTCGTTCCCGATCGTTGATCTCGTATTATTACTTGGAATGTCCACACTCTCTTTGGCTCCCTGCATTCGGACGTGGGACAGCAGGCGAGGACACGAGCGACTTTGACGTCGTTGTGCCGATCTGCCGATGTGGTGGTCCTGCAGGAGTGTCATGGATGCAAGGGGGATCTTCTTCTTCTTCTCCTATCTGACCTTCGTGTATATACAGGTTGGGGTTCGTTCCTTCCCGACCGTGCGGCTGGAGGTGCTGTCATCCTGGCACGTTCGAATGTTTTGGCGCAGTTTGTGCACGTCAGGCATGAGGTCATCGCTGGTGGGCGATGCCATTGTATTCATTTGAGGGGGAGGAAGGGATGTATGACAGTTATTAACATGCATATTGATCCAGCTCTTTCTAACGGAATGAAATATGGGTTGATTCGGCAGGTCGCTTCACGTGTGAAACCTGTTGACAAATACGCTACATGGATTTTGGGTGATTTAAACTGTCTCGATCCTGGGGACTCCCGTATTTTTCTGCGAGCAGAACCTGTCGCCGCCAAGACCGACACGGTGGGCAGCTTCTTTGCGGGCATTTTTCCATACATGTGCGAGGTGGCTCAACTTTACCCTACGTTTCGAGTGATACAAGACGAGAAAATCATCTCCGCTGGGCGTCTGGATAGAATCTAAACCAGTTTGGACTCTGGGCACCTACTCGATTTGAAGCCTGCTGCGGGTGTTATTTGGCCAGTTACCGACCTGTCGAAGCCGCGTGGCCATACCCCTGTGTACGTTTCCTTGTTTCCTGGACCGCGAAATGACTTCCCTCGGATTCCTTCTTGGG